TATGAGGTGCGTTATTTGAGCAGATATATATACTAAGAATACTTGTTCAAAGTGGGATTATCTACTCTAGTAGGAAGATCACATGCACAAATGCTAAAGAAATCTTCAAGAGTTCTAGAGGCAGTTCTCTAATCTTCAAAAATTCACTCTAAATGACCAGGGAGTAAGGGTGATTTGTAGATATAAAAAAAGAATAAAGTGGAGGAGATTTGGTAGTCTCTAGCAAAGGTATTCATATCTCCCCTTCCAAGGTATATATTCCAAAATATGTTTTAAAATATTAGTGTGTTGGCCATCAACGGGTTGAGAAGTTAGTGAGTTCACCATTTCTTTTTTTGTATTTTTTTGAAGGACATGGCTCTTATAAAGTTTCATTTTTGTTGCTTTAATTAGAGCAGCACATGAATTTCGAGCTTGAGATGAACAAGACTTTGAATGACTTGAATAATAAATTTGTAAATGTAAAATATCTCTAGGGAGAATACAAGAAGAAATATGATGGTAAAGTCAAGGAGATGAATGCGGTAGAGGAGCAGCTAGCAGAGTGTATAATAGAGTTGGCAAAGAGATAACCTCAGCCTCCTCACAGAATGAACAGATGGGTTGCCTATATATAGAGTTGGTGGATGCATAGGCGATGATGAGCCAGCAGATGAGAGATCAACAAATCCTTGAAACTGAGAATAAGAGACTCCAGAGTATGCTGTCAGAGAAGGAAGCCCAACAATTGCCGTCTGCAGTCATAGAAGAATTCAAGAAATCTTTTACTTTCAAGATAATTATTGAGGATCACATTCAGGAAGCTCATATCATATTTATGATGTGGAGGTAGAGTGTATGGAAGATGGCTTCATCAAAGGCTTTATGAAGGGCGTGCATGTAGTGCAACGTAAGACTAGAGCGGAGATCGAGTGGTTGACTCCTAGCCAGGCTTATGGTGATCCTTCTTCAGACCCTGGTGGTTAAGAATTAGAAAGTGAGTTGCATAAGGCTTTTTCCTTGGAGGAGGATGAGGTTGATATTGAGATCCTGTATGATAGTTTTGATCTTATTTTGTACTACTTTGTTTTCATTCTAGTGATTATATGTGTGTTTGATGTTGATGCTTCTATATGATGTACTCGATATTTAGTGATATATAAAGAAATTATTGATATTTCTCTTTTTTCATATACATATGAAATTGACTCAATTTTATTTCAATGAGAAATATTTTGCTGACCTTTTTTTTTACTTAAGTGAATGCGAGAGATATCCTCCTTGAATATCCTGACATCTCTGAGATTATTAATCAAAGCATTTGTTTGATGATTTTAACCTATATAGAAGAGGTCGGATCAAATCCCCCTAGAATTGATTGTCCAGTGATTAAGATATAATGTATATTATGTATTTCAAGAATCATGGAAAAAGAGCTCGAGGAGAAGAGATAATTTTATGACAAAGTGAACATCACATTACTGTATTATATAAGACAGTATAATAATTCTCTAGTATAATTTAGGGATACGAAAAAAGAGTTCATCCATAATCAACACACAAGGGGTATATGAAAAGTCAGCATAAAACTTGAAAAATACAAAGTAGAATTACTTTGGGGGATATATAACACAAGACAAATACTATCAACAACGTAATACTAGACAAATAATATTATCAACTCCTACTGATAGTACTTGCGAAGGTTGCCAATATTCTAAGTTCGGGGGAGCATTTTTCAACTAGCATCCTTCAGTTTGAAGGTTATAGGCTTGACCATAGCTGCCACCAAATAAGGACCCTCCCAGAGGAGAGAGAGCTTGTTACAATGAGGACCTTTTCAAGCGGTTTCGATGCTTCACAGAACTAAGTCTCCAATAGAGATAGGTCGAGGTCTCACCCTCTGATTGTAGTGACGAGCAATTCTTTGGTGGTATGCAGCGGTTAGGTGTGTCAATTTTTTACCCGACCCGAAAAAATATGGGTTCGGGTCAACCCGTTTGTGAAACTTGTCAGTTTCAGATTCAATAAATTGACCCATTTCAAAAATCCAGTTGGGACAAAAATGACCTGAAATTGACCTAGAAATGGTCCCTGCTCGGCTGCCAGGCTCAAGTCGCGTCGCTTTGTCGTTCGAGAATCGCGATGCGTGCCAGGCTGCCAGCGCTCCATTGCCCGCTTCAACTTCGTCATTCGCAGTTCGCGTGCCAGTACGGCAAGGCCCACTTCTGGTTCAGTCGCGTCGCATCGCTTCGCCGCTCGCATGTCGTGGTGCCGCTGCCGCCTGCGCCCTGCCACTGCTTGTCTGCTGTCGGTGCCGGCTACCGCTTAGAGTTTAACTAACTGGGTCAGGTCGTGTCAACCCGGTAACTCGCGCGGGTCGGATCCGGGTTGAGATAGCCGACCCGTTTATAAAAACGGGTCGGGATTGGGTTGACCTGTTTAGAATCAAGTCAACTCGGGTTCGACCCGAATTTACACCCCTAGCAGCGGTCATGAGTGAGGTATCTTACTTTTCATAAATTGTGATAGTATCTTCGTCAAAATATAAATAATATCATTTCTCCATCATTTGGCCCATGTTGAATAGTTTTGATCGATGTTCGGAACCAAAAGTACATCATTGATGTACATCTTCCTCTTTTTTTGTATCTATAGGAATGGTGCCTTTCTTTATTACCTCCATGAAGTCACAATTTTCAATTTTGACATTTGTCTTGGTTTCAGTATGGCTATAAAATATATTCTCAGACCATGACCGGTATTGGTAATAGGAAGAGATTGGTCATTGCCAACTTATATCTGCTGAGGTCCTGTGTAGAGCTGCGGCGATAGTAGATGAGAAGAATCATTTGTCAAATGAGATGTTAATTCAGAATCAAGTATCCAATCGTTTGACTGAGAAGTGCAGTATGTGGATTTAGCTATTAAGGCGAGGAGGAAAAAGGACTGTTGTAAGATAGATTAATGCAATGCCAGCACTTCACAACTGAATGACCAAGTTTTTCACAAATCTAACATTCAACCCGAGCATCAGAACGACCCCCCTTACGCTAGGAACAACATTAGTTGATCGATTCCTGCTGGTGCGAAGGAATGGGGGATGTCAACCCTTACCATGAGCAGTGAGAGCAACAAGTGACTTAGAAACCTGGATGTACCGATTGAAGTTCACGAGAAGCTTAATTCATCATGTTAGTTTCTTCACATCATAATAATGAGTAAAAGCCATCCAAATGAAGGTGTTGGAGGTTCGTTCAAATCATTATTTTGAAGGCCTGGTATGATGGGGGCAGCACATTAAGTGTGAATAGAATTTTATCTTCAAGGTCTAATGTATATCCAACGACATTGATGGTGTCTATCTTGAGCTTTATGTCTGAAAAATACTGATGCATTATTTTGTTGCTCATTGAAATGTGATGCAGTTCATTCTTCAGTTGAATGATACGAGAGCAGTTTGTAGACTGAAGTTACTTATCTATCGTTTGCCATATTTCAACATATGAGTCAAGATTCAGGATATACGGAAACAAGGAAGAAGAGACAATGGAGAACAAGGCAGAGATGTGAGATTATGATCAATCATCATCCAGGTAGAGTACTGTGGATTGATGTCAATTTCTTCTGTTGTGGTTGTTACTTGGTGAGGAGGCTGCCAAACAATTCCATCAAGATATCCTTTAAATCCATTAGCACGAAATGCCTTTAGCACTTGCGAGCGCAAGGTAAGGTGATTCTTCCCTGTGAGTTGAGCCGTGACAATGTTCTTAAGCGTACACATTAATAACTTAAGGTGATGGGAAATCGAAGCTCCGCTAAGAAGAGGAGTCGCATCAGAACATCCACTTGCAAAGTTCTCTGTGGTCATGTTGATTACCTTCATAAAACATACAAAGGAACTGTGGAAGCCGTAAGGCTTAAGCCAGCTCTGACACCATGTAAACCTGTGTCCTATATAAAAGTTTTGTATAAAAATAAATACAGTAGAGAAGCATATAAAGGTAGAAGAGGAAGGTAAAGTTACTGTGTAAGTTGCATTCCTCTCTATCTTTGTAAATTACATATGAGCTATATATAATGAATTAGTTCACAATGTATGGTCTAGATTTAATCAACCATAGGGAACCTGATCCGATCACAAGGAACGACACTGCTAAGTGCTAACATTCTTTAGCATATCCTGATTGAAGAAAATTCATGGAAGCATGCCTGGATGGTTTTTCATTTAGATGCAACATTAGCTATTGGCTTGAGAAGGAATTATATAATCTAATAATTTGATTTGTTACTTAAAAAAATAGTTAACAAATAAGTTAAACAAAGACATTTAAAAGAAAAATAAAAGTTACCCTAAATAAGCCCTTAATTATTTCTCATCATTTAGGGATCACTTTCTATTTTTGTTTATTTTTTACTTTTTACATTTTAATACAAAATAAAAATATATTTGATATTCAATAAGTTTTATTGAATATTATATAAAATAGTGATGGCGGTAATGATGATTATCACTGATATCTAAGGATCATAGGAGATAATTTCATTTTAAAAAAATATAAAAAAAAACTCCTAACAAATACCAAAAATTTGTTCCAAATATTAAAAAAAAAACAACTTCATTTGTTATAAAAACAAAAAATAAAAACAGCTTGATTTGTTATCGATCATAAACCAAAATCAAAAACAACTAAAAAATATAAACCAACCATAAATCATAAAAACAAAACAAAATATTGTTCTCAAACAATCTCTCTGTTATTTTCTTTCATTTTTTTTTTATGAAATGTGGGCAGCAACGGCTCTTATCTCTTCTATATTTGGAAGGATCTGATAAACCAAATAGCTAAAAAACTCAGCCGGAAAAACTACACAGATAAACAACGTACACACAGCTCGGAATGGCGCGTTATCTCAACTCCACCAAATTCTCTGGCAGCTTAAGCAACGGCTTTCTCTTCATCACTTATATATAATGAGAGGATTCCTCCACCAAAGCTACACAGCAGCTACTGATAAAAATGGCTTCATGGGTTGCAAATACTCATGCAGCAGTGGCCATGGTGTTGCTGTTGTTGATGCAGTTCGGGCTCCCGGCCCGATCAAAACCCGTGATTACAGACCCAAAATGTGTGGATTATGACCCATTCGATAGATGTTGCCCACCCCCCAGTCCTAAGAAGATCGTCAATTTTAAACCGCCGCCTCAATCCTCGCCGCTTCGTGTCCGCCGGCCGGCCCATGCTCTTGGCCCGGAAGAGGCCCGAAAGTACGCGAGAGCCACCGCGCTTATGCGGGCATTGCCGCATAATCATCCATGGAATTTTTTCCGGCAGTCGAATGTTCACTGCGCTTATTGTTCTCGCAGCTACTTCCAGCTCGGCCATAATTACCCCCTTGAGGTGCAAATTATTCTCTGCGGTTTTAAATTTAGGCAACTAGCTTAGAAAAACACTTGCATTATTGTTATTTTTTTTAAATAGAGTGAACTTTTGATGAAAGTTTTGTTGGAACAATTCTTTTTTTAATTTTTGAAGTAGTTTTTTAATTAAAAAAAATTGGAACTAAAAAAATATTTTAAAAAGCAGTAAAAAAATCGTCCCAAACAAAGTTGAAGTCTAAATAGAGTTTACCACAGAATGACATTTTTCAACCATTATGACGAATAAATTAAGTCGTTATAAAGCTCGTTAGGCCAAAGCATCTCTCTCATGCTCTCTCTGACCTTCATTTATAATAGCCTTCTTGAGGCAAAGAAAATCACTACGGCTTTTATGGGCAAAGAATTAATAGAAATTATGAGATAAAAATATTAAATTACAAATTAAAACAAATTATATTAAAACTAAATAAAATAAATAAATATTTCTAAGCTAAATTTTAACCTTGAAATTTATAGATTTTTTTAGTTTTTGTGAAATTTTATTTGAGATATCTAGCAGTTCCAAATATAATATGCTTCTTTAGTTGAAGGAATTTCCTTCTTGTTCTAGACAAAAATAAGTATTCTTAGAGAAATTAATATAGACCAACCAAATAGAAAAAAAAAAAAAGTCTCGCAACTTAGATGGAAAACACTTTTATTATGAGAAAATGATAAATGTTTAGTAGAACTATAAATCAATAATTTTTGGTCTTGTTCCAACAGATCCATGGCACCTGGCATTTTTTCACATGGCACCGAGCCTACCTCTACTTCTATGAGCGAATCCTCGGCAAGCTCATCAACGACACTTCCTTCGCCCTCCCATTTTGGAACTGGGACGACCCTTCCGGCATGAGCATTCCACCCATCTATCGAGACCACTCTTCCTCCCTCTTCAACCCTACTCGGAACCCCGACGGCCTCAAGTTCATAAGCCTCGGCGGCTGCGAGGGAAATAACACTCTCGAATCCCTCCCAAAGCAAAGACAATGCAATCTTCAGGTCATGCACCGCCAATTCATATCCGGATTCAAGTCCAGTTTACTCTTCTTCGGAGGCCAATACCGTGCCGGAGACCGGTCCTTACCTGGCGGTGGATCCATTGAAGGCTCACCGCACGGCCCCGTTCACCTCACCGTCGGCTCCGACATGAGTGCTTTAGAGACAGCCGCCCAAGATCCCATCTTTTTCGCTCACCATGGAAACATAGATAGGTTGTGGGAGATATGGGAAAGTACTCCGGGCAAAAAAAGGGAGATTTTTAGTGATAATGACTTTCTTGATGCTTCGTTTGTCTTTTGGGACGAGAACAAGCAGGTTGTGCGCATAAGGGTAAGGGACCTTATTGATACGCGCAAGCTTGGGTATGTGTATGAGGAAGTTCCATTGCGGTGGATGAATATAAAGACGACGGTGGAAAAAGCTGGTGCGTTCGTGGCCATGGATGAGAAGGAGGCGGTGAGGTTTCCAGTGCTGTTGAGTTCTCAAGTGACTGTTAATGTCGCAAGAAAGGTGGGGAAGAAAGAGGAGATTCTTGTTGTGAGTGATATTGCGTTGGATGGAAGAGATTATGTGTGGTTTAAGGTTTATGTTGGCAGAGTGCGTGGCGGAAGAGTTGAAGCTGGTTGCTTTATACATATGCAGAGAAGAGCAAATAAGAAGATACCAGTGGTAACGAAGCTACAGCTTGACATAACGCAGTTCGTAGAGGATATTAGAGCTGATGGTGATGATCAGGTGGTGGTTACATTGGTCCCTAAGGTTGGAGGAGATAAAGTCGCCATTGGAGGAGTTTCGATTGTATAAGGGAAACAAGCACAATACCTACTACATTCTTTGAAGTTCAATTAATAGTTGAATAATAAGGGATATTGCTTATTTGCTTCCTTTCTACTTGTGATATATAAAGATGTTTACGGTGTTCTGTTGCATAATTTTAGCTCTCTTGTAATGCTAAATTATCCACTGAATAAATTTTTTTTTCTTATGTGTTTTCATTATTATTATTCTTATCATGATGGTTTGGTTTATATATCCTAAATTTTCCTATGATATAATGATGACATACTTTACTCTGAATGAATAAAGTTAGAAAATTTAAGAGAGAGAGAATACTTTGAAAGAAGCTATGTGTTTTCACTAGCTAGAATGTGTACTATATGAAATGTTACATTAGCAAAATATAAGTAAAATTTCACAGTAATGCTTAAGAAGCATTTGTTATAAAATGAACAAATTTGAGTAAAGTTTGTGTTGACTTCACTTTAAAGTGGCAATTTTAGATGAATTTTTTAGGGGTTTCATTTTGGACTATCTAGTAGTCTTGATTCTTGGGCAAATTTATCTGATGATTTGAGTGAGTAGCTTAAGTTACTTTGTCAAAAATGTATGATAGATTAAATATTCTTGTTGTGTTTTGTTCCTAGTTTTAGGTTTGCTTTTGTGTAGGTTTCTTGTTTGGCATATGTAGCCAATTGTGTGTTGCTTGTTATATTGCTTTTGTGCCTATTAATAGGCTTTAGCTTGTATTAGGAAAGCAGCCAATGGAATAAAGGAATTTTACAATTTTGGCTCACGCCTCCTCTCTTCTCCCTTCTCCCTCCTCCTCTCTCCCTCTCTATCTCTTGCAAGAACATCTTTCAAGATCTCCTCCAAAGATCCAACATAGTGGTATCAGAGCTAGGGATATGGAGGAGAATCACACTACAGGAAAATCCCGCATTTCCGGCGGAAATTTAACCTTTTCCGGCGGTTTTGCCGTTTTCCGGCGGTGTATGTTCCGCCGGTAAAAACGGCGTAGGAAATTAATTACTGGCGGTTCTTACCGGCGGTAAATATGTCCGACGGATTTCCGGCGGTCTTCAACCGCCGGTTAAATTAAAAAAAAAAATCATCTTGAACCGGACGTCCGGCGTGAGCTTCTTTGCCGGGTTCGCCGGTTGAGCGAGGGGACCGAAAGCTCAGGTAAGGTCTGGCTTAGCTCGGATCGGAGCTATAGTAGCGGTCTATTGCAAGCTGGATTAGGAGTCGCTCGGTGTACATCGGTGTGAGAGAGGCTTCAGGCGGACGTGCGAAATCAGAGAAGGCTTCTTGATCGAGAGACACCTTCTTGCGATTCTTTAGCCGGTCAAGAGAGCAGCGATCAATATGCTTGAAGGTGAAAGGTGGAGGAGCTTCAAGGAAAGGTACGCTAGAGGTTGACGAAGGCGGACAAGAACATAAGCATGGAAGTCATTGAGATCGAATTTTTTGCTTGATCTTGAATCAAGTTTCGATCGGTCTTGAAGTAGATTTTTTTTTCTGTTCTTTGGTTGAAAGATCAGTTTGGATCTTTGCAGTGGAGTTTTGGACTTCAGGTGGAGTCCGGGAGACACTGAGGTAGTGTCAGCTGCTCTTGGAGAGCAGGTTTGAAAGTGCAGGGCGCTTGAAGATGCGAGGTCGTGCGGTGCACGAGGAGTCCGCATAGGAGCGTGGGGCACTGGTGACGAGCGAAGCGCAGGTGAAGGCGCAGAGCTCGTTGAACGGGTGGATACGTGCAGGATGTGGTCGGGGAGAGACCACATGAGTGCGAGGCGCAAGTGCGGGCTTGTGGCATTTGGATGCGGGCTGGAGGCGCAGGGCGCGAGCACTGAGGCGCAGAGTGCTGGTGGATGCACAGGGCGCGGAAGCCGGGCTAAGGGTGATCGGGATTGGCTGCATTGGACGCAGTGCGACAGAAGATCTGTCGGGAGGAGCTAGAAACTCAAGAAGATGGTTCACCAGTTCTTGAGAAACTTTTAGCTGTCGGTGTACATTTTTTGGCGCGCGCGGAGGAGACTGACAGGCCAGGTTGTTATTTGGCCGTTCTTTATGAACAGTGGTTATCCTTTTGTTTTTTGTTAAATCTAGGACCAAGGTGGAGATTGTTGTGTTTTGTTCCTAATTTTAGGTTTGCTTTTGTGTAGGTTTCTTGTTTGGCATATGTAGCCAATTGTGTGTTGCTTGTTATGTTGCTTTTGTGCCTATAATTAATAGGCTTTAGCTTGTATTATGAAAGCAACCAAAGGAATAAAGGAATTTTACATTTTTGGTTCACGCCTCCTCTCTTCTCCCCTCTCCCTCCTTCTCTCTCCCTCTCTATCTCTTGCAAGAACATCTTTCAAGATCTCCTCCAAAGATCCAACAATTCTGGTGCTAATTAAAAAAATGTTAAAACTAAATCACTTTGACAACTTAAACTCACTCACTATATTATTATTCTTTGGCAACTTCTTTATGGAGGATTAGGTTTCATTTGGGATAGATTTCTTACTGTTCTTTAAAGTAGCTTTCTAGTTAAAAAATTAAAAGTTTTATACTAAAAAGCTGCTTTAAGAAGCATTAAGAAATTCGTACATCTCAAACGAAGCATTTGCCTTCTTTAGATTGTTGATTTATCTTCAGCTCAGTTTTTTTGATTAGTAAGATTGGTCTAAATTGTTCTAAGAGACATTGGTTATGCATTTAACTTATCTCTTTAAGCGACACTATAAATAAATAAGATGACAAATTAAAATAATGATCTTGTTGAGCAATCACATTGGCTATGACTGATTATGTGGATCTGATAGGTAGTTAACGCAGTAATTACTCCAACTCTATAAACACTTTATGACTTTCGTTTAAAGATCTTGTCATGAACTTCTTTCATAGCTCGAAGATATGTATGACATAAAAAAGTTAATATGCGCGGAAGATGCTGTAATACAGTTAGAGAGTTCTAAGGAGCCCAAAAATTGCTCGTTTTATAGTGTACATTATTTACCACCATTTTATTTAAGTATTTATTTTATATTTATGTCTCTTTCTTTACACATATTATTGCTCCATGCCTTCTCGTTCATGTTTTACTTCGATGTTTCACCTACTGAGTTTGTTTCTTGCAAACTTACACCTATTACTTCATGGTTTCAGCTTTGCTACTTTGAGTTTCTTATGGTGGAACTTCTAGGTTCTTGAATTAGTTTTATCTATGATAGGTAATTAAGGCTAGAGTTACTTAGTTAATTCAATTGTGTAATGAAAATTTTATTTATGTTTAGTGGAAGTTTAATATATATTTGAATTTAGATGCTCTGATGATTAGTGGATATAAATTATTGAAGTCTTATATTTTCATTGCTTTGAAATTATTTTATAAATTTTTGCTCCGCTCACACCCTACCATTGGGTTCTTGTAATTTTCTTTCATGCCCGATGGCGGGGTGTGACACAGTAACACTTTCTAGGATAATTATATTAATCATAAATACTGTAAGAACATTCATCCCACTTAGTTCTACATCAAAATGGTTAGTATCCTACTTGGGCTAGAATGTATAAAATCAAATGGTTTGAGGAGCAACATCTCTCATGGGGTATTGGAAATGGATCTTCTTACTTCTGGCAAGATGATTGGACTAATTCTAGTTCTTTAGACTCTTTATTATTAAATACTCATTATATATCTAATCTTAAGGTTTCCTTTTTTATTTTGAATGGTAGATGGAATAGAGACTATCCTTTGGATTATATTCTTATTCACATAGTTGACGACGTTTTATGTGAGATCCCTATTAATATGCTTGCTCATGATCATCTTATCTTCAAGCACTCTTTTGATGGGAAATTTAATTTTAAAGGTGTTATAAACCTCTTTTGATAAACTTTGGAACTCTATCACTTCTACTAATATATCTATTTTAATTGGAGGCTTTTCAAATGTTTTATTCTTGTTAATGAGAGACTTAAAAGGAAAGTGCTTTTCATTCCTTTGAAGTACCAATGTTTTGCTAATGTGGAATCATTAAATCATGTTTTTCTTCATGGACCTAGCTACTGCTTCTCGCAGGTCTGGACTTTATAGTTAAGTTAATTATGACTTAGATATTAATTTTAGGCTTAATATCTCTAATTGTTTGGACATGCTACAGATTTGATTTGAAATCATTATATGAGCCACATCCTTACTGGCGTTCTTTTGTTTTTATGGATTGAGAGGAATAATGGTAAAACTCAAGGTATTAAAATGAATGCTAATAGAATCAATGTATTAAAATGAATGTTATGAATCTTTTGAAGCTTAAGCATCTTAGGGGAAAGGCTTCTTTGTCTTCTTTCTTTAACATTCATATATAATGGTTACATTAGTTCTAAAGCTCATCCGATTATATTTCATTGGAAAAAATCTGTTTTAAATCAATATAAGGTTAACACTTATGGTTCTATGAATATGTCGACTATTGGGTGTGATGGTGTTATTCGGGATAGCAATGGCTCTTTTGTTATTACTTTTTCTTCTCAGATCCCAAAGTTTACTGTTATTATGGCTGAAATACAAGGCCTATAACATGCATTTCAGATTTGTGTTGCTAACTAGTGGAGAAGCATTTTGATAAAATTGGATTCTAAAATGTCGATCTCTTTTATCTTAAAAAACTCTTGTAATAATGCTTCTCTCTACTATTTATTCAAAAAAAGTATTCACTTGTTTGATCTGGTTTAGTATAATATCTCTCATACTTGGAGGGAGGGCAACATGATTGATGATTGGATTGAAAAAAAAGAAGCACTTCTCTTCCTAACTTTGTGACTTATATTCACTTGAATAATCTTCATGATATTATGAAAATGTTGAGGATGGACAACATTGGTTTCCCCTGCAGAAGGAAGATATGATTTCTTCTCATAGTTTTGCCATATATGGTGGCTCTGTTTATTTATTTGATCGTTCTTTAGTGGTTATAGTGTAGTGGATTTTGTTTTTCTTTTGGTTGTTTGGTGGATCCTATTTCATTTTTAAATGGTGTTGGGTATTGGGTTGTTTTATTTATTATATTTTAGTTGGAGGTGTTGGTGGTTTGATCTGGGTGGTTCTGTTGTTGCTCTGTGTAAGTTGTTTGAGATGGGCTTACTATTAGAGGTTTTAGTATGATGGGGTTCGGTTTTATTATCTTTTAGTTAGAGTTAATGGTGGTTGATATTGGTTTCTATGGATGGTCCCGTTGGTGCATTGCATATGTTGTTTGAGGTGGGCTTGGCATTGTTGTTGAGTTTGTGTCTTTGTGGTTTTTTGTTCTAGTCCCTTTTTATGGGTTTTTTGCTATTGGTTTTGTTTCTAGGACTTTTTCGGTCCACGTGGGGTTGTAGAATTTTCTTAGCTGGCTATTTTGCTAGGGTTTGGTAGGTGGTTATTTTTCCATTTTTACTTTGTGGTTTGTATGCATGTATTCTATGTGACTTTTTTTTACCGTTTTGCTCTCAGCTTTGTGAGTCTATTGCGTCATTCTTCTAGTTGGATTGCTGATGTTCGATCACATTATTTTGGCTTTCTTGATATATACTCAGATGTAGAACATTTTGGTTTATTTTGGGTTTGGCTCCTTGCCGGCCTTTTCAATCTATTTGTTGTTTTTGTATCTAGTATGGGATGTTAGACTCCATAGGATTTATTTTTATTTTGCTTGTAGCTCTTTGAGTATTTAATGATTTTTTAATCTTTTTTAAGTACCTTGTAATCCTCTTTTTAATTAACATGTAAGCCCATTGTAGATTTAATCCAAAAAAACACCTTAATTAATATTATTCATTAGTCATTTGACTTGAAGTCTTATTAATTTTAATCTTCAAAGAAAGCCTTGATAAATCTTATTTCAATAATCAGTGAAAATCAATCCATCTTAGATGATATTCTTCTCATCATATATTACTTACACATACACTAGAGTGTACTGAATTTTCCTAACATCCATAAGAGGATTTTAAGGATGAGTAGCAAGTAGGATGGATATAAGGGTGTAAACGAGTCGAGTCGAGTCGAGTTTTGACACTATCGAGCTCAGCTCGTTAGTCGAAAAGCAAGCTCGAACTCGAGCTCGTCCCACTATAAATGAGCTCGAACTGGATCACGAGCTTTGGCAAGATTCGTTTTACAAAAAAGCTGTAACATTTATTACAAAATTCAAATTTTCTAAAAATATGCACCATTATTTTCTAAAGAGCTCCCGCCCGAATTCCTTTTATAGCCCAAATCCAGTTTTTTATTTATTATTTAATATTCAAAAAAGCTGGAGCACTATTCATGTAATTGTTTACTACTTTAATTAGCCATCCATCTTTTTTAATATATATATATATTCATGTAATTGTTTACTACTTTAATTAGCCATCCATCTTTTTTAATATATATATATATATATATATATATGGGATTTTTACATACATAACATCTTAAACATATCTATTTACTTATCTCACACCCAAACTTAACTTTTTACATTTCTACCACCTAAATAGACGTATCCCGTTTCCGTATGCTCTTTTAAAATACGCCATCTGAGCCGCTTATATTTCCCGCGTGATAGTTTTCTCCGACAACCATCGCCTGTTCGTCGCCTCGCCTCGCCTCTGTCAAAATACGCCATCTACGCTCTGCTTCAACGACGCGTTGTTCAAAGACTCATTTTTCTTCAGCGTGAAAGGCTCTCAGGTGCAAAGTTTTGAAAATCTAATCTTCCATTGTTGCTTAGAGAAGAAAAACAGAGATGCTATCATTCTTTGAAAAACGAAAGCAACGCGCAGCTTTACCCAAAACAGAGATGGATTCTATGTATTATATAAATTTCTGTTGCTTAGAGAAGAAAAACGACTCGTTTTGGGTTCATGCATCAAATTGAAAAAAAATAAATTTCTGCATCAATTTGAAAAACTAATTTTTCATCTCAGGTTTATCATTTTGAAAG